GTAAGTTACGTTACGTACTACGTAACGAACCTAACTAACTAACACCACCGTCACTACTACTTACTACGTACTACTTACGTTTACTTTACTTACTACAACAACACTCTCTCTCTCTCTCTCTCTCTCTCTCTCTCTCTCCATCACAGTCCAACCCATTACTCGGGCTCTGAGAAATCAAATGACCATATCGATCACAATATATTTTCCATTGTTGTTTCACAAGCAACTTACCTCAAAGGCCCTTGATGAGATCCAGCCATGCCATGGCTTTAATGTGGCATCATAAGACTCCTTGACCACCTGCACGAGATCATGATCCGAATTCTCCATTAGTTTTTCGAGGAATGAGGCGGCGAAGTCCAAAGACCTGTAGTAGCATAAACAAGGATAAATATGAAAGAAGAATCCGGTAATTTGCCTTAAGTTAATCAAGGTTCTCCTTAAGGGGAAGGAAGGGCTTCAACACTGCCATTTTTCCCTCAAGAAGGAGGTTCATGTTCGCCCTGAGTGATTCAGTATGGCTGGTTAAGATTTCATGAAGTAGAAAACTACATGTAGTGTGCTGTACATTCCCTTACATCACTCAAGTTTCTAGCATATATAAACTTTTTCCATGTATAAGACAATATTTTGTAGATGTAAAGTTTTCATTTCAGTCAATTTGATTGAATTATATGTATTTTTGCAGATGTAAAGTTTTCATTTCAGTCAATTTGGTTGAATTTTATGTCTTTTTTAATTATTATAAAAATATTGATAACATTGAGAAATTAACACTTCCTTGAGGGTGTGTCTGATTTTGGAAAGCCGCATCTTCATGGAGTTATGAAGTGGCAGCTTCTGTGGGGTAGTGGAAGCTGCCAACTCCCAGTTTTCACGTTTTTTTCAAAGCTGCGGGAAGCATGAGTTTCCAAAATACCGCAGTTCTCCCGGAGTCAAACATGGGAAGTGCTACAGTTTTTGGGAAGCTGTGACTTCCGGAGTTGCAGCTTCTTGATATCAAATTCGCCCTCGGAGATCTAATCCTTGGCTCAATATAAACATAATGGAGTTTCTTCAAAGTCTCTCGATTTACCGAGGAACAGTAAAGAGAAATCCGATTTTGCTATTGCACTTCTCATGGGGCGTGACCATTACATAAGTGAAATATTTTTTCATAATAAAGGAAAATTTGTTAAAATACACCTAAGGTATTAACTATTCAACATTTTACTCCTCTGTTTTGATTTGATTTCAAAATGTCCAATCAATATACGCATGATTTTGAGTTTAAATAGTAGAAAAGTGTAAAAATTTTGAATACTTTAAAAGTAAGGTGTAGTTTGATAAGTTTTTCTTTCATAAATTCTTGAGAAATTTATCAAAATACAGTTTGCTTTTCAATTATTGAACATTTTATGTTTTTTTTGCGATTCCAACTCAAAATTATGTATATTTTAATGAGTATTTTGAAAATAAATTAAAACATATGGGTATAATGTTAAATAGTTAATATCTTAGGTGTCTTTTGATAAATTTACCTAATTGTTTTTGGGAAATCAATATATTCTCCCTTATAAGGAATATTTGTTGCATTTTTTTAATATATATATATATATATATATATATATATATATTGTCTGTATAATAATTACTATCGTCCTCGTGGAC